AAGCCAGTGAAGGTGGCAAGAGGAGCGATGGGTGTCAGCCGTCGCCTTGCCCAGGACTCTCCCAGGTGACATGATGAACCAAGCAGTAGCTCGCATCAACAGCCCCCACCCAGTGCCCCGACCAGTGGGGCCAGTTAGCAAAGAGTAATGGTACCAGTGAGTTTTATGATGCCAACTCTTGACCGTGAAGCAGAGGTTGGGTCTCGGTTCAACAGATGGGTTGGATCTCTGTTCTCAACACACCAGAAGGAAAAAACAAACCCCAAACGAACAATATTGTTCACATGAGCTGTTCACTCCACATGTCTGATGTCAATTTGATCTATCAGCTTCATCGGTAGAAGTTAGTAGTGGGGTGGTTGTTACTAAGCCTACACACTTCATCTACAACCACAGACCACGAGTAACGCAAAAGCAATAACATGAGCCAAAGAAACTACATTCATCTCCCCTCTCCTAAAGCTGACTCCCAAAGGTCCCACCTCATTTAGTTATTTAAATTTCTGATTTTTTAAAAAATTTTATTTCGAATAACTTTATGTATTTAAATTATTTTCAGCACTTTAAAAATTGTATCCCAAGTTCTTTCAGGATTGGTGCTTTGCTTGAAAAAAAAAAGAAACAACCCCAATAACCAAACCATCAAAGTCCTGGTAGATTAGAGCTGACATCTCATCTTCCACCCACTGTTTTCCAAAGATATTCCCTATCTTTCAAATGGAACATTCCTCTGGAACAGGCAGAAGGCTTCCAGCAAGTGGATACTTTTAAAGACATCTCCTCAATGAACTCAAACACACGCTTTTTAACAAAGGCAGAGCTGCTGAGAATAAAAAGGAGGTTTTCTTTCTCCTAATCAAATTAATAGAGCTAAACAAAAAAAAAAATTACAACCCCTATAAATGCACACTCGGCTCCAAATTTTCTTCAAATACTTGAAAAGCAAAAGAACTTTCACAAGCACATCAACATAAAGGAGAACACTGCCATCCAACAAATACAAGGAGTTGGTTTAAAAAGATAATTAGAAAAAAAAAAAAAAAACCAACCCAAAACCAAGCTACATTTTCTGCCATAGGCTCTGTTCTTCAGGAAAAGACCGCCGAGTATTTAAGCGAACTGTCTGGGTTAATGACAGCTGATGTCCCGTATCCCGTAGCAGTAGTCATGACCTTCAGGCCTCCCGTGACTGACGGGCTGACCCCGATCACTCCAGGGTGCAAGGTAAATGACAACCAAAGAAGAAAAAGAAAGAGAAGAGAAAGAAAACTCGCTGTCGGCTTTGTAGCCAAGCTTCCTAATAAAACCTAATTCAAGCTGTCAGGGTGAAATGAAGAAAGTGTCAACAGGGGTTTTCAGAGAAATATTCCAAATGTTTGGCTAGAAAAGCCAAGAGCTTAGCTCCCTTCCCCCAGCCCAGCACCGCTCCTCCAAAAGGGCTGGAAAATCCAATGTCAAAAGGAATTTTAATAACGTGTCTGGGGGGACCCCTGAGGACGGACCCAAGGGGACACTTTTCTTCCCTTCCCTGACAAACCCAATCATCTCCATAATGGTGAAGAGCACAAAATTCGGGAGGGAAGTGCCAACGGAGGGGTTCGGTGAAACCAGCATCCGTGTGAAATAGGACCATTCTGTCGGCTTGAGAAACCGAGACGTTTAATGGTGACCCAAGGGTTAAGAGCCTTGGGAGCCACCAAAGAGAACAACCTGCCACCAGTGAAAGGTCGAGATTAAACGTGGGGTGAGAAACGTCTTGTGCTTCCACATCAACCGATGACCTACCATGTCCTCTAGAAGAAGGTGGAGAGAAAGTGCCTCTCCAAATTACTATCCCTCGCACAAAGGAAGAGAATTAAAACCCTAAAGAGGCACTGAAATACCTGGAGAGTCCCCAAAACACTGCCCTAGCTCCACATCAGCACTGGGGCAATGTCCAGGGTCATGCCATGGCCAGGACATGAAGTTGCCAAGGGAGATGAACCCCCCAAAGGTCCAACCTCTCGTTAGTATGGTGCTGCAAAGAGAAGGGAAGAAGCATCTCTCCTTCCAGTAAAAATCTCATTATTCATTTATATCCATCTACCAAGTTTTAGACATTACTGGGTGCAAAAATAAAGAACCAGTTTCTGGTGAATACAGTTGTTCTCCAACCTCACACACACACATGGGCAAAACCAGCATCAAGGCAGCTTGGGATGGAGAAGGGAGGGCAAACACATGGAATATTTTGGAGGCTTTAAAAAAAAAAATAATTGTCAGATTATTTGTATATAAACTCCCATGGGATACAAGAAAAGCAAAAACCCTGAACCAGCAGCTGAAACTCATTAACACACAGGGCAAATCAAAACCTCAAGAGTTTTCCTGCCAACGCGCTCCTTGAAGGACAGTCCTGGGAGGCCACACGGAGGTCATAGATGTTATACCAGGCACTGACCCGATGACAAGTGGACATCACTTTCTTGAGACAACCAGATTCATCTGTTTAGTACAACTGAGTCAGGAACACCTTGGAGGAAACAGCTCCCTCGTTTTTTATACAGCTAGCATGGTCCTTTTCCCTATACGAGGCAACGATTTTTGGAGACTTGGCCAGCCCTTTGTCCACAAAGGATGATAAAGCTCCAAGGAGACCACCAGCCACCCTCCAGCCTGGGCAGGGTATACACAAGCAGCTGAGCAGCACGAAGGCTTGAGGAAGCTAATTCATATTTTAATCCTGTTGAGATCTTACAACACAGATAAAACCTCTGTATTACCACTGTGAGCATGCTCATTCCCTACCTCAGATGAAGGTCTTCCGAAAACTTCAGACAGGCATAGATGAATTCTTTAATCTGATTGTAAACTTTAGGCACAAACTCAGAAAAGGGGAACTTCTTTGGAAACGGTTGCTGCAAAATACAGGAGAGAACTCAAGTCGAAGAGCAGATATTCAACAGGAGTGACGACTGCTTTCCAGCAACACGTTCCAAGCAGTCAAATTAATTCTAATATTTAGCTAAGTCCAGCAATGAAACAACAAGCCAGCATTTATTGTATCTTATATAAACATTTCAGCCAAGTGAAAGACCAGATAATCACTTACAAATGGCACACGGGTGCATAAGGGATTTGGAGTCTGAAATGGCTGGAAGGAAACTTGCAGCTAAGAGGGAGCAGGCAGCAAAACACGACCCTTGTTCCCTCTCCCAACTCCCTAACTCATACGAACAAAAACCCATTGGAGAACTTCTTGACTTTTATCACCCACTACGCACAAGGTGTTTTGCTCGGTCACCTCCCACAGTCACTGCTCAAGGTGAGCACTTGCTTACGCCACCAAAAGCCAAGAGGAAACAGATGTCCTCTACCAACTTTTTCCAACCAGCTTTTACCCATAGCGCACACACGGCTGGGAGGCACAGAGCGTAATAGCCAGAAGCTGGATCCCATGACAGAGTTTTGGGGAAGGATGCAGACTTTCTGAAATCTAAACACTTGACTTGGATCGAAAAAACCTCCCAGTTTTAATTAAGTTCACCAGGCTTGGAGCTCGCTGGCTGCCAGATGTGGAGCAGAAGGCCAGGCAGGCTTTTAAGGGACACTGGCTAGGTCAAAGCTGGCTACACGGAGGTTTTGTGAGCACACATGTCTACAAAAGCCAAGATACACATTTTTGTTGTTTGTTTTTTTTTTTTTTTTAAATATGAGATTAAGACAAATAAAGGTCAATAACATGGTTTATAAAATGGGAATAAAATACCAATGGAAGCAGATATTTTTCATCTCTTGTCTACTGCAAGCACTGTTCAGCCGCAACAGTACGCTGGGATCTGCAAACAAAATCGATGAGGTATTGCCATACGCGCTCTCCTCATCCATGCCAGGAGAAATGTAACACGTGGAAAGTGGATTTGTTTTTTTTCCCTTGTTTTGCTTTTTTATTGCTTATTTGTTTTGGGCTTTTTTTTGGTAGTTGGGATTTTTTATATTGGACCCTGCCACTAACAAGGGTGTGGGGTTTTCCTGCACCAGCAGACACACCGTGCCGCTTTTTCCCCACGTCAAGGTTACCTTTTCAAGTTCTGCATCCTGGAATGGGAACTGTCCAACTATTTTCTTATAAACCTCTTCGCTTGTCACCGGGATGGGACTGTAGTTATCTGAATCAAGTATATTTCTAGGAAAAGAAAAGAAAAATTAGAAAGACAGCTCCGTGACGACAGACCAACTGCAACATTGCAGATTTACTGCTCAGTTGGGAAGCTCTGAAGAAGGAAGTGCCAACCAAAGATGCGATCCCATGGGCTTAAACTTCTTCCAGCGTTTGTGACTGTTGAAATCATCTTTGCTGCAGCCGGACAAGTATGTCTCCCAGCTCCCTGCCTTCAGCCTGTGTAAAGCCACAGACAGAGCTTAGGTAGGGTGTTTAGTCCAGCCTGGAGCTTCAGCAGCCAGCCCTGGTAAAGCCCAAGTGATCTTGAGTCCTGCCTGACTTGAGGAAGACAGAGGTTGAGCTACCAGGGCACTGACAATCCTCCAGCATGTCTTCCCAATGTCCCATGCTCTGAGCACCTCAGTCCTCCCAGATTGTCCTGGAGGACCATCACCAGATGAGCTGGTGGCTCCTGAGCACAGTGTGTGACCCTGGATAATACATCGTGCCCTACCTACAGGCAACGGTGCAGCTCATGGACTTGGCTACAGCCGCAGCACCGGGACGTGTCACCGATGTCCCGGGACACACGTGGCTCAGGGCTGGAGCAAGGTCACCATAACGCTGCTGCTACACTGGATCTTTGCATCCTTCCATCTACCGACTGTCCGTGTGAGCTCCATAATGAGATCATAACCTTGTCCCTTTGGGACATAAAACCTGTGGTCTACAACGATTTCTCGCACAGATCTCAGCACACACAGGATCCTCACAGCTATTTAAACAAGCTCTCCCTGGTGTAAGGAGAGCCCTGGCTGAAGCTTACTGTCGCCCAAAATTTAAGCATGAGCTTGTTACTAATCTCTGAAAAGATTTTATTTATGGGCCAAAACTACTCTGCAAGGCACATCTCATGAGTTTGCTTAAAGAGCTTCTTACCTGAAAACTCCCGACCATTTCTTCAGCAGGGTTTCACTGTACTGGTCTTGGATCTCCAACAGCATGTCGAAGAGCTGGTTCACCGGGAAGCCGTATCCCTGCAGCGGGGTCGGGCAAGAGAGCAACCTCAGATGAGAAAAAGGCACCAACAGGCAGCTGAAGATTATTTTCTCTATTTCATAGGGAGCACGTGGGCAAATTCTCCCCCACCACCACCACAGAGGTGGATGGCGTTGGCAAAGGGACATAGTCGGTGGTTTACCAAGGTGGTGGCACCAAAGGCTGTTAGAGGCTGGGCTGGGTGCAGGCAGGAGGCACGAGGGCTTGGCAAGGTGGCCAAGGCTTGGTGCTTGCCCATGGGCTGGCAAACTAGGGCTGTCCATCGGGCACCATAATTCATGCACCACAATGCCAAAAAAGAAGCCTGGCCACCACAGCAAGCCCACATCAGCCACTGAACCCTGCTGAGGGACACCATCTGCAAGCAACACAACTGTTGAGTGAGAGAAAGAGCAGTGGCCAACAGCCACGTACCTGGAGCGTATCTGCAAAGAGGACGATGAGGTTCTTCAAGTCTAACACCAGGCTGGGGTCCGAGCAGTAGGACTGCGAAGAAGGGGAGAAATTAAAACATGGTTTTAATTGCAGCGCGCGGGAAAAATATTGCCCTCATCCCTCCTGCATTATCACTCGAGAGATAATTAATATACAGGCATGTCATACAGCCTTAGGGTCAGGAGCTTTTATCCGACAGCCCATGCCCTGATGCCGCCCAGGGCAAGGGAAGGCACGCTGATAAGGGTATCTCTCCTCCTAACACACCGCTCTCGAGGCTCTCCATGATGAAGAAGGATTTCGGTCGCTCTCGAGATACCTGAAGTGTGTCTAAGATTACCCAGGAGCTGCTGGGGAAGCGAGAGGAGATGAAGCAAATCAGCAGGCTGTCACAGCAAGCCGACAGCAGCACCTCTCGTTTCATATTTAGCGTCTTGTGTCTGATGGTGATGAAGCATCACAAGGAGGCGTCCCCGAGCCCCGCGCCAAGGGTTCAGGCTGAGCAAAACCACGCTGCAAGCCTGTATTTCAGCAACATTAATGGACAGAGCTACAATATGAGTATTTATTGAAGGTCAGGATTTATTGCAGGTCAGCACGTTGCTTGGAACCCTAAAGACGCAACTCGGTGTAGTCACAGCGCTGATTGTCCCCCCCAAGAATCATCCCACGTCACCCACAGGCTCCGTGTGCTCTCTGGACGCAGCAGACGCCCACCCTACGCTGAAATATGTCAAGTTTCAGACAGACTCTTACCAAATATAGAATCGGGGATCATAAGCTGGAAAGAGAAACAGATTTAAAGCTCACTAGAAACTCAAGGAGGAATGATTCCATTAATCAATGTGAAAGACTGGAAGAGACATATTTTCCATTTCACTGTCCAAAACAGAAAGTCAGAAAGAAAGATAATGCCCTAAAGCTATCAGAAGTGATAAAAGATGTTCCCGTCCACAGCAGGGAAGAAAATCCAGGCGTAAATTTGGCTGAACAGGAAGAACCGAAACAGCCTCGCCGACGAGAGAGCCCTCCATCACACCTCAATGGCAACATTTGATGGGTCTATACGGGAGCCGCAGGCTGAGCTTAGAGATGACAGCACTGACCACAGTAATAGTGTTGAGAAATCAGGCAACATTTCATGTTTACTGAAGAAAAAAGCTCACCTTGCAGCTACTTCCTACATTAAGTTTGGCATCACTTAAAACAACGTGTCGTGGCAACAAAGTTGGTAAAACTGAAAAACACCGTGTTTGTACCTGGCTTACTCTCCCGACTTTCACCTAGCAGAAAACCCCGCTTAAAAAGAAAAACAAACACAGCTTTACACCCTAGCGGAGTGTACATCTCTGTGATTATCCCCTTTTGTAACAGAGAAGCCGAAGCGGAAGGAGGCAGCTTTCCAGCCAACACAACATTGGGCTGGATGGAGCCAGAGCATCCCAGGACGCCTCTGTGGTCCCTTGTCCCAACAAGCTCCAGGCAACTTATTGTGTCTCCATGCAGAAATTTTAGGGTTTTCTCAAAGAGCAACAACATGGTTATCACTTGGGTACCACCAGGTGCACGTTTACACCACGTTCGATGCAGTTCTGCACCCGCACGACCCAGCATCATCCTCACACTTTCGGATGGCGCTGCCGGCCCCGAGCAGCAATGGGATTGCAGTGATTTCATATTTTTGTTTTTCCTGGAGAAAATGGCCCAATAACTTGAAAACAGACTTCTGGAAAGTCATTAATATTTTTTTCCTTCATGATCAAATGTAATTTTTTCATCCCGTTCAGCAATAGGGTTTTCAAAAAACTCCAGTGCTCCCAATTCAACCATTACAACATTATATCAGGTGATGCAAAACTGTAAGAAAAAGGTACTTTTTTTGCACTTGGCTTTGGTTTTTTTGCTCAAGCAGAGAAATACCGAAGCGATACGCAATTTTTCCAAACTTCTTTCAGTATTAGTAAATAACAAATCTATTTAGTGACTTTTTATGCACAAATTATTCGCAGTTTGATAGCAGCTCATTCACTGCCATGAACTTTAAGGGAATATCAAACAGGGTCATACTCCAGCATGCCAAATAGACGCTTTTTTCCCCAGTTTTCCAGGACAAACCAACTCCCTCTACTGGTGCTTTTCAAAAGTGATCAGCAAATTAACAGGAAAAATCTCAAACTACTATTTTCTTCTTCTTTTTCAGATCATTGAGAGTTTGGTACAAGGGAGAACAGAGCATCAAGAGGCAAAAAAAAAAAAAAAAAAAGTGTGAGAAAGCTTTTGGGGAAAGAGCAGCGTATTTTCATGCTTTTGTTTTACGAAGGGGCGTTGGAAAAGAGACAAAACAAAGAATATTACTGTAAAAAGCCAATATTTCCAGCATGTCAAGTCATACTCAAGCAACAGCTGAGCAACCCGGGGCTTTTACTCACTGAATGCGTCCGTAGCGCCGCGATGGTTTTTGATAACGCCATCTCCCACAGCTCATCAATGTAGGCGCGATTTACCAAGCCCTGCGTTGTATGCAAGATGTGATCTTCAACGACGAAAAACCTAAGGGAGAGGAGAAAACGGCTCTGATAGCCAAAATTCCAGCTTTTGAGACTTAAAGAGATCTGCAAAAGCCACATGGGAGGGATACGCGGCGTTTGCACATCTGCAAATATCCAGAGCAAGCTCAGATTTGCAGGAGTATTTGTATCAAATATAGCTAAGGCTAAAGACTTTCTTCCCCAATTTTTAACATCCCAGTATTTTATATGATGTTTCACCGTATCATAGAACTGAGCCAAAACACAGTGGCTCCTGGTAATGCCACTCCACGTACACACCAAGGCAGAATTTCCCCTCTCTACATTCTCCACCTCGTTATTTCAACAAGAACCGCTGATTAAACTCTGCCCCAGCCAGCAGCAATCGCATCACAATTGGTCAACCGCAGGGAAAAATACGTAAACTGCAGGGAAAAAGAGTTAAACTGCAGGGGAAAACGCTTCAACCGCAGAGAAAAATACTCTCTCGCAGCCAGGTACATGACGTGCTCCCAACCATTTAAAGGCAATCAGTTCCCTCCAATCTCCAGTTATCAAACATGCTGGCCAAAAAGAAATTATTTTTCAGGGAGGGAAGGTGGCACTGTACATTTTAACCAGCAATGGCAAAATCTCAGCTGCGTTTTGTCGGGGAAATTCAGCCCAGGAGCGCGGAGCTGCGGGAGAAGGTGAGCGGCACACGTTGCATTTGCGATGGTCGCAATTGGAAGTTAAAATTACTATTGTCAGCTGAAGAAATTTCAACATTGTACCCTATGTTTGCTAGGTTAGTGGTCTCAGGGTGCCTCCTCTTAGAGCTCGGCAGGTTTTGGAACATTCTCATCAAATTTGAGTGCAATAAGAAAAAGCTTATAGCCACGGAGGCTTGAGAATCACCTCCTTTAGCAGGAAAATAATCAAAGAATAATTATCAAATATTAAAGAATAATTAAGGCAGAGGGCCTGTTCATCTCTTTAGTGGGGCAAGCAGATGCGCATAGTCCACAGGGATTATTTATCCTCCAATTCCCAAAAACACGCTTGCTGGGACAAGAGCTGGCAGGTTACTCTACACTCCCACTAGTGACACAGCAAAGTTCATAGGTGCCATAAAACACATTCTAAAACACTTAAAAAAACCAAAACAACTTTTTTTTTTTTTTCTGTTTTGGCTCCTTTTAAAGGACCCTCAAAAAAATCAACATTCCCTCCTCTCCTGCTTTTTGAGCTCCTCAACAACACGGCACGCACGTATTTAGCAAGGATGTGTATAAAAAGAATACCTACCCTACAATTTGATTAAAATACTTCCTGTAGCCATCTAAAGTTTCATGCTGCAACACAGAAAAAGTGAGTAAAGATTAAAACAAAGCTGGCCAAGAGGAACTGGAAATAAATTAGAGACCACCCACCACCAACAGCACACCCAGAGATAACTCTCCGCTCCTTTATTCGGCAGAGCACGTTTGGGGACTGCAAGGAGAATCACGGGATGGTTTGGGTGGGAAGGGACCTTCAGGCCCACCCAGTGCCACCCCCTGCCATGGGCAGGGACACCTCCCACTAGCCCAGGTTGCCCAAAGCCTCATCCAGCCTGGCCTTGAACCCCTCCAGGGATGGGGCATCCACAGCTTCTCTGGGCACCCTGGGCCACTGCCTCACCCCCCGCACAGGAAAACATTTCTTCCCAATATCTCAGCTCAATCTCCCCTCTTGCAGCTTCAAACCGTTCCCCCTCGTCCTGTCCCTGCACCCCCTGACCCAGAGCCCCCCCATCTCTCCTGTAGCCCCCTTTCAGCACTGGAAGGTGCTGGAAGGTCTCCCCGGAGCCTTCTCTTCTCCAGGCTGGAGGACCATCGTACCATGTTGGAAGGTGGCTGCAGGACCAATCTGGCTTGTTTTCTTCTCTGCTTCCTGTAGTAGTTCTCAAAGGTTTCTCGGGCACCCTGGAAAACAGAAAAGAACAATTCAAGTAATTATGGTTTGCATGAACCATTAACTTGCAATATATTGCATGAACCACCAACTTGCAATATATTGCATTTAAGATGCAAATCTCATGTTCCTCCAGCAGATCTGGAACCACCAACTTGCAATATATTGCATTTAAGATGCAAATCTCATGTTCCTCCAGCAGATCTGTGCAACACCTTCCTGCAAAATGCAATCCAAATATTAGAAGATAAAGAGCTTTACTCAAAACACCAGCCAAAAAAACCCAACAGTTCAGGTTTAAGAGTATCTGATGAACTCTCCTGTGCCCATTTTCCAGCATTGCCGTGAAGATGTGGAACACGGAGACATTCCACCAGCTTCTCTACCAGACCATAACACGGACAAACATCAGGTTTATTTAACCATGGGGGCAGTGAAACAATCAATTTCTAGCATTAGCAAAAAGAAAGAAGGGACAAACCACACCAGAAATTCTTCCGCTGATTCATGGGTGCTGAGCGACGCAAAGCCACAAAGATCAGGGAACTTAAGGAAAACATGCTTGGGTGGGTTATCACAATTTATGAGACTGGTCTACACAGTTGGGAAAAATGAAATAGGTTTTTGAGCTCATTTTTTCCCAATTTTACTGTGGGAAGGAGGAGAGCTGGTTAGCCCCAAAAGCCCAACACCCGAGCTCCCCTCCATGGCATCGCCCACGCCGGGGCCCTGAATTTTTTTTTGCTTTGTCCGTAGGTGGCTTTGTTTTACCAAGCCAGGCTACATCTGAGCATCCCCACCCAGGCACCAAACCCAGGAGGATCCTCAAATGGCATCAACCTGCTGAAGCGTTCAAACGTCTGCCTGCCGCCCCGGTCCCCTAGGCTATGTAAAGCCTTGCTGTTTTATCCCTGCCTGTTCCTCCCTCCTCCACGCCCCTGCTGTTTTATGTCTGAAATTGGATTAGAAACACTTCAGAGAAGGGACAAGGTCTTGTTTTGAACTGTTCTGAGCCAAAAAAATAAATAAAATAAAATTAAAATAAGGTCTCATTTGGAATTCACAAAACAAACAACACGTAACAACAAATCTCAGCTGAGCAAGCCACCAGCCGTCAACCTTCTCTACTACAAAAAAAAATAAATTAATTAAAAGAAAAACCTTATGCTAATTTAATGATTTTCCAGCTACTATGGCATTATACAACCAGGCTGCCTTAGGATGCCCTCGACTAAAGGGGTCTTATGAAATGTCTGCAATGAACCCTTGAGGAGCTGTAGCCTGACTTGCTCCTTCTCTTCTACAAGCTGGAGCTTGAGGCTTAAGCAAAAATTCAGCCTTGCTGATGTGCCCAGCAGCTCTCCCACCTCTAAAATTCATCCAAAAAAATCTTGCAACCATGTGCATGCATTGCAAAGATTATGAAGATTTATACTGTGGATTTTGCCTCTGAATTATGCTTTTTATCCCAGTGAATATCAGGGGTGCAGAGGATGAGCAGCTCCAGACCTGTGCTGGGCACATCCATCCATCCATCCAACCACCAGTGGGGCCAACACCCTGCAAAGGACAAATCTGGAGTGGATATAAATCCGAGACTTTCTCTTGAGACCAAGTTAAGCATCAGCTTGAACCTACAACTAACCTGACATTTTAAGAAAGCTTTTCAGAAACGATCTGGGAACCAGATATTGTCTTCTCAATGCTCTCAGAAGCTGTCTCCCCCTGGAAAGGGAAGGGCCATGAGACAGAAATCAGTGATCTACAGGTTAGATCCAGAAAAGGGAGGATTACTACTACATTTTTTCATGTGCTAGCTCCCTTCAGACAACCTACAAGCAGGGAGCTCTGACCTCCCTTCGAGCTCCTCTCCCAGGCCTGGGAGCTGATGCTTCTCATGACCAGGCTTTGGGCAACCTGGTCTACTGGAAGGTGTCCCTGCCCATGGCAGGGGGGTGGAACTGGATGGTCTTGAAGGTCCCTTCCAACCCAACCCATTCTGTGGTTCTATGATGCTGGTGTTACCCATTTCCTCTCAATTTTTGTGGTGTCACAGTAGAGCCAAGACAGAACAAGCTGTCCCACTCCCACCCTTTCCTCAATGGGAGCGGACTTAAGACATTTATTAAATCCTGCTGTTCTTCGTCTCTCAAAACCTCTACAAGTGACACAAAAAACCCTGATCTTCTCCATCCTGACCATGAGAGCAACTCATGGTAGCATCACTGAGATGTTTGAGTGAAGCTACTCACTAACTCAGCCCAGCCTGCTGCTACCAATGAATTTGGGGTGCAAATCCAAAATTTGAGATGTTTTTCCCCACTTCTTTAATAAATTAATGTATGGCACCATGGAACACAAGAGCACGCCGAGGTTCAGCAAAACCATGAGCACAGCTGCTGCGGCGGTCGGTAGCCGATGTCAGCCACCGTGTTTAGCTTCACGCAACATCATACAGTGAGCAATTAATTCCCCGTTACTGAACATGCATAAGCTGCCATTGCCCCAAGCTACACAGATGAGATTTTTGCAATGACCTCAAGGACTTACTGGAAACTTGAAAAGTGGTTCCTCAGGAGCAGGAAGCTGGTCTGAAACCAATCAACCCTTTTTAATACCAGATTTTGAAGATTTCTGCTCAGAGTATGCCACAGCAATTCAGTTCAGCTGAAAACACTTTCCCTCATCCCTCCAACTGAGCTCTGAGATCCTCCTGGTACACCTCCCACTAGCCCAGGTTGCCCAAAGCCTCATCCAGCCTGGCCTTGAACCCCTCCAGGGATGGGGCATCCACAGCTTCTCTGGGCAACCTGGGCCACTGCCTCACCCCCCGCACAGGAAAACATTTCTTCCCAATATCTCAGCTC